ACAAACAAATAAATATTAAATAAAAATAGAATGTAGAACATTAATCCAAAAAATAACAAAACAAAAAGGTTAAAAAATAATAATAGGAATAAAAATAAAATAAAGAAAAGAAAAAACAATTTTTAGTTTCTTAAGTAAAAGTTTAAAAAAAAGTGAAGTAAGTGAAGTTCATTTTAAGGTCCCATGGAGGCTGGTCTAAGACCCCTCTCCACTGTTCTCTGTGCCACGTCCCAGCTTCCTGCTGTAGTCAGCATCGTGTTGTAGCTCCCAGCGATCCACAGCTCCGTTTTGTCAGACGCCACAGCCAGGAGGGACCACTCTGCCTGCTTTGTCTACTTTCATCGTATTTACACAGGGGTCTATTTCTGACACTGCCTTTAGGTAGCAGTGTTTCCGTATTAGTTTCTGGGACCAAATTGCCCCTCAACCCAGACCCCAAGGCCTCCCTGGGGGTATTTTGAATCCTAGTTTCCCTGCCCAGCTCAAGGCCGGGTGTGGCTGCGCTGCTGGGAAGTGCCTGGTCTCCAGGAGAAAAATGGGTTGGAGGGAACGGACTGTCCCAGAATTGGCTTTCTGATCACCTCTCCCTTTTTGCTCTCCAGCTTCCACAAAACCACCTTCCCCTGCATTGCAGCCACGGTGAGTATTTGTAATTGCAAGATCCTGAGTTTAGCGAGTAACAGCAAGGAAATTATAAAGACAGAGAAACCTCCCCACTGTATGTCCCCCACTCCCTTACCCCCGCCCTGCGTGGCCAGTGCAGAACTTCAGGCTGCCTTTCTGGGCGCAGGCTCCCAGGGCGGTGTGCTTAGGTCTAGAGTCCCCCGCTAGCAGCCCTGTGGACACCCTTCCACAGTGGAGCGCTACCCTTGTCCCTAACGGACGTGGTGTTGGTCCAGCACAGTCCAGGCTACGCACATTTCTCCCTCCAGCCCAGATTCCAGATTCCACCGGTTTCTTGGCTAACTCTGACCTTTTTGTCCATGTATTGCCTCTCCAGCTGAGTTTAATTCACGAATTCCGGGTGGATGTTATCCGCCAGTTCCGGGTGAATGTTTCTTTTATCTGCTCCATCAGAAGCGCCTGACCCGTCTGCCTATTCGGCTACCATTTTGTCTCCCCCTGGACAAACTTTTTAGGAGCCGACAGCTGGGGAGGCGGGAGTCTTGGTGTTTGTGGGTTCACAGCTGTGGCAGCTGGTGTCTGCCTGGGGTGGCTGTAGAGTCCCTGGTAGTGTCCGAGGTCTCCCTGGGTGGAGGTGAGGGTGGGCTCCCAGCCACAGCCACTCTCCCCCTCAAGATGACGTGGTCTTTGCAGCAGAGCCGGCCACCCTGGGAGAGATTTCAATGGTAGTAGAGGTGGCCCAGCTTGGGGGAGCCTGGTCCGCCAGTCTCCAACAGTACTGCACAATATAACTGTCACACACACACACACACACACACACACGCCCCACAGGTCCACGCACTCCCCTTTCGCTCTCTCAGTCACACTCTCTTTCTCACTCTATGTTTCTGTATTTAAAGTGTATCGCTTGCAGACAGCAAATAATCAGGTTTGCTTTTTTTTATCAAATCTGAAGTCTGACAATCTCTGCTTTTTATTGGCACACTTAGTCAATTTAAACTTAATGTAATTATTGATCTGATTGGTTTTAATCTACTATTTTGCTATTTGCTTTCTATTTTGTCATCTATATTCCCCCCCTTCCTCTTTATCTTCGTTTGTATTAATTCATTATTTTTGTATTCCATTTTAATTTTTTGTATTATTTTTTTATCTATTTCTCTTGATATTATTTCTCTAGTGATTGCCCCAGGGATTACAATATTTAACTTATCACAATATACTTCATAATATTGAAATATAAGAATCCTGTAACATGGTTTCACTTAACATTTCACTCATTTTTTTGTAATGTATTATAAACCAAATAATACTATATCCCAAGTTTCTGCTCTATTATGATTGATTCATGGTCAAATATTCAATTTCAAACAATACTCATAGTTATGGTAGTTACAACCTGACCCAACAAAGACAAAACCAATCCTCATTGGTCTAAAATTTTTTCTGAATAATTCCATGTCTTTATCTATATATATAAAAGCCTAAGTGACCATAGGACCGTCCGACTGGCTGGTAGGTATGATGCTCACTGACCACCAGGGGGCAGATGCTCAACGCAGGAGCTGCTGAGCTGTGGTGACTTGGCAGCAGCAATTCTTGGGTGACACACGCTGGAACCAGGGAGGAGGGAGTGGGATTCCACCTTCAGCTGTGGGTTATGTTGTTGCTGGGGCACTGTTGGCCCTGAATCTGGTTTACTACACACTTGCATTTGCGTTCCACACCCTGTACGACAGCAACTTTGCCGAGTGCCCTCTCACACTCCAGGACCCTTTAGGGGATGTCAGAGAGCCAATTTCAGCCCAATTCCTGCAAGCAAGGCCAAGGGACCCCACCTTCTGGAGGACTCGCTTACTCTGCAAACACTCTTTGAAACATGATGCCACCCCAGGTGCTGCTAGCTGGGGAGGGACCGTGGGAGGTTGGCTCCAGGGCGTGTCCAACCCATCTTGCCCAGTCCCGCCCCACCAGCCACCTCCTAATTAATTTCCTTTCAATGTGCATGAATCCGTGCACCAGGCCACTAGTCCTATATAAAAAAACAGAAACATGGAAATTCATCATCCCTCTGCTACGCTCACCAGCCAATCAGGAGTGAGTATGCAAATTAACTCAACAAGGATGGTGGGTTAATTTGCATACACAGGCGCTCGGTAGAGAGCAAAGCAGGAGAGCTGGTGGAGAGTGGAGCGGTTTGGGGAAATTGGCTCCAAGCCGCCAGATGGAGAGAGAGAGCCAAAGAAATGAGTTCGTGTGTCACCTCTGACACGCATGTCATAGGTTTGCCATCACTGCACTAGAGCAAAGTGAGCCGAGAGCAAGTTACTGTTGCAGTGGGGGATGGAGGGAAAGCAAAGGTGAGAGACATAAGTAAAATCAGAGTGTCTAGGAAAATTTAAAGGGACGATATCCTAAAATTTCCAGGAAATCTCCACCAATGAAGCAAAAAGAAAAAAAATGCCTCTATTATTCTATGAGCAACAAACCAAACTGAGTTGGGGTCTCAGACAATTCTCTCATATGACTGCAAAGACTGAAACTACCGGATTGGAGAGGGCTTCCCTGAGGGCTCCCGGATTAGAGAGGGTATAGGTCGGGCTGAGGGACCCCAACACCTCCCAGTGCATGAATGTCGTGCACCGGGCCTCTAGTATCATTATAAAAGTGATGGTGAAACCTAAGTAGCTCACTGAAGTTTATTCCCTGCCTCTAAACAAATATTTGGAACATTTAAATTTAAATTCCAAAGTTGAAAGAAAATTTAAAATCCTCTAGTCAGGACCCTCATTTTATATACAAAGAAGTGATATCTGGACACATAAAGGGCTGATCTAAGATCACATGCATTCTGGCCTTGGCCTAGTAGCTCAGTTGGTTAGAGCAGTGTCCTGATACTTCAGAGTTGTTGGTTCTGTTCCCCATCAGGGTACATACAGGAAGCAACCTTTAAATGCATAGATAAATGGACCAACAAATTGATGTTTCTCTCTCAAAAAAAAAATTAATAAATAAGATCACAGGCATTCATTCATTTATTAATCACTTAAAATTTTTAAATTTATTCTAAAAACATGCATTAAGTGCTTGACATATACTCGCCACTGAAGTTAGAAAATGAGTAAGAACTAAAAATCATCGAATTGTATACTTAAAACAGATGTGTGTTATAGTAGGTAAATCATATCTCAGATAAAGCTATTAAAAATGAGTGAGATCCAGTCCTTCCCATCATGGAGATCACAGTACAGAAAGCCCTCTATTTTGCAGCTCTCCATTTAACACACTTCAGATTTAACGGACAAAATTTCCAGTCTGTATCTCATATGTGAAAATTAACAGCCAGTTAATTTAAAAATGCTTCTAACCAATATTTGTTTATTTGGTTATTTTTTGTTATTAATTCACTGTTGTTTTTAACAAATTTTAGCGAATCGGCCATATGTTGGAAAAAACACTAGTAATTTCACCGACATAAATAAATATTACATATCTACAGCTATAGTCTATATATTTAAATCCCAGAGTCACTCCTCATAAACAGTGTTTGGGGAATGATTCGCACAAGTTCACACCACATCTCAAGTGGTAATTGGTTCTGTTGTCTGGTGGCCTAACTTTCTGCAGCAGTTTTAACTCCTGCCAGCAGACCATCTGACATGCACTAAGCCAACCCTCCACCGTGTGCCTTTGTTTACTTGCGGTGATTGGTGAGTGAACACATTTACTAGACCTATTCAGTATAAATTTAATATGTTTTTTAGTTGATTTCAGAGAGAGAAAGGGAGAAGGAGAAAGGAATAGAAGCATCAATGATGACAGAGAATCATTGATCAACTGCCTCCTGCATGCCCCTACTGGGAATCGAGCCTGCAACCCAGGCATGTGCTCTGACAAGAAATTAAACTGTGACCTCCTGGTTCATGGGTCAATGCTCAATCATTGAGCCACACAGGCTGGACTCAGTGCAAATTTAAAATTACAGTAATACCTATAGAAAATTTTTCTGTGAAATTAAAGTTTTCATACATACTTAATTTTAATTATACAAATGTGTCTACATAAGTAGTCAGGTAAACTAACTAATTTGTCAATTTTTTAGCACACACATTTGGAAAACCTACTTTATTATATAATGGATTTTCAGTTTTAATGGACACCCCCTTGCCCAAATTAGTCCATTATATCAAAGTTTTACTGTATAAGGATAATATAATACAAACATAACAATGACAATAAAATTTGATCATGCTGTAACAGACTAGTATGCTTAACCACTTAATTTTGGAGTACTCTGGGGCTGAGGCTTGACCCTAAGTGTCAGGCTTTAAATATCAATTGTATGTTGATGACTCCAAAATTTTTATCTCCAGCAGATGTCTCTCCCAAAATCCAGACACAAATATCTGATTGACAATCTGACATCTCTCCTCTAAATGTGAATTAGCTTCTCAAACTCAACATGTCAAAAACCAAATTCCTGATCTTCCCTCTAAATCTACTACTTCCACAGCTGTCATCATCTCAATTCATTGACAGCTCCATCTTTTCAGTTGCTCAGGCAAAAATCCCTGGAGTCATCTGAACCTATGCAGCAAGAGGAAGAGACGCCCATAAATTGTCCTCTCAGGACTGACCTGATGGTGAGGCCTCTCAATCTGCTTATTTTTCAAAATTAGCACCTTATAATCCATTCTCTTGTTGACTAGTGTCCTTCCTTTTCTCTTTATTGATAGTTAGGTTTTATAAATGGGCCATTGTCCCAGAATATTAGTGTTAGAAGGAATTTGCCCCAATTCTTATATTTTTTAATTGAAAAACCAAGGCCAAAGAGGATAAGTGATTTGCCCATGATCACATAATTAAAATTGCTTTCCTGCTTTAAAGTTCACTCTCCATATGATCAACTCACAATCTGTAGAGCATGTGCTGTAAGTTCTAACAGTGTGGATTAACTGCAACGATTCATCCACATGCTCTTGCCCAGTCACAGGTAACACATATCTGAGACATCTGCTGTGGTGTATTGAAAGCATTCAGACTGGGTCATGCTGGGAGGAAGCTCAGGAGAGACAAAACTTTTGACCCTGGCCTTGTTAACAGCACACCTAAGAGCAGATGGTCTTAGAGGAGAAACGAAGAAAGATTCATTTGTAACCCTACCCTACCCTAGATTGCATGTCTGACCACTCAACAAAATGCCAGTGGGAGTTAAGTAACTCAGAGTAGTACAGGGCTCTGTCTGTATGTTGCCAATCATCTGCATTTCTATATTCAGGCAGTGTATGTGAGATATAGTCTATATTACTTGAAAGAACTTAGTATCTGGAATTCTGTATCCATTTTTGTCAGAGAAAAGATTACGGAATGCTACTGCAGAAAAGGCTACTTAGCCCCATATTGCTGGATGTGGCACTGATGCCAGGAACTGAATTATGCTCCCCACTCCAGCTTTCAGATGTTGAAGTCCGAACACCCATGTGACTGTATTGGAGATAAGGCTTTGAAGAGGTGATAAAGGTTAAATGAGGTTATGAGGGCGGAGCCCTGATCTCATAGAACTTGCTGATAAGAAGAGGAAGAGACACCAGACCTCTCTCCCTGCCATGGGAGGACACAGGGAGAAGGCAACCATCTGAAAGCCAGAAAGGGGGTTCTCACCAGAACCTGACCATGCTGACATCCTCATCTTGAACTTTCAGTTTCCAGATCTGTGACAAAATAAATGTCTGTTGTATAAGCCATCTAATCTATCTTATTTTGCTCTGGCAGCCTCAGCAGACTCAAACACTAACCTCCAAGAACCGCATGGATTCTGTGGGCATGGCATTCAGCTTCATAGCATGGACACCAGGAACACCAGGTGCTCCCTGCCATGGCTGCCAAATATCCAGTTTTGGGGGTAGGCCCAGAATTGGTAATAGTAACGTAAGTTCTGATGCCAGCTTGGGCAGCTCCTCACATGCAAGGTGGTCAGTAATGAGGTGCTTCCATATATGCACGTGAGAGCACAGCTGCACCACCAGTATATGCCCCCACTTGTCCAGCAGATATTCACTGAGTACCAACTATGTGTCAGGCACATGGGTGTTGGGGGTATAGTAAAAAACAGAATGGGCACCATGGCTGGTGCCTCATAGTGACGACCCACAGACTAAAGAGTCTCTGGTTTGATTCTAGTCAAGGGCATGTCCTGGATGGCAGTTCTCATCCCCAGCCTGGGTCGGCATACTTACGGGAGGCAACCAATTGATGTGTCTCTCACATCAATGTTTCTCTCTCTCTCTCTCTCTCTCTCTCTCTCTCCCCTCCCTCCTTCACTTCCACTCTCTCTAAAAATACCCTTGGGTGAGGATTAACAAGCAAACAAAAGAAAAACAGAACAGGCAAACCTTGTTCTTTTAGAGCTAACCCTCTGTTGGGGAAGCCAGAGGACAAATGAAATAAGTAAAATATATGATAAGCTAGACAGTGATAAGTACTAACATCCTATCTAATAATAGACAAACATGGTAATTGACCATAGCTTCGCTACACCTCCCATGAACCAATCAGCGTGATATGCAAATTAACCGCCAACAAAGATGGCAGCTAATTTGCATACTGCAGGCAGGGCAGGACAGCACCATCCCGCCTGCCCTGCCACCATCTAGGCCTGCTATTTGATACCCGGGGCGGTGGGGCAGGACAGCACCATCCCACCTGCCCTGCTGCCATCCGGGCCTGCTATCTGCAACCCAGGGCGGCGGGCATCCGTGTGCGACTGGACCCGGGGAGGCCGGGTGGGGCAGCAGCGATCGGCCGGCCCATCTGAGCGTCCCATGTGAGACCCAAACCGGGGCAGCGCCCCTATTCCCGGATCAGCCCTGCCGTGTGCACCACCCGGGGAGGCAGGGCAGGCACCGAGGGATAGTGCCTGCCATCTGCCACCCAGGGAGCGGGCCTAAGCCAGCAGGTGGTTATCTCCCTAGGGGTCCCAGACTGTGAGAGGGCACAAGTGGGGCTGAGGGACACCCCTCCTCCCTGCCAGTGCACAAATTTTTGTGCACTGTGCCTCTAGTATAAAATAAGGCAGCAAGGGTGTTGGGGAATCGGTGGTGATTTTCTAAGTTGAGAGGTCAGGTGAAATCTCACAAAGAAGGTGCCAATGTGTAAAGATGTGAAAGAGGTGGGGGAGGGAGCTGTGTGTATATCAGCAAAAGAACATTCCAGAATGACAGAAAGGCAAAAGGCCTGAGGTATGTTAGGAAAACACCAAGAAGGGCAGTGCGGCAAAGAAGAGATGAAATGAGTTAAGAACGATGGGGCTGGTACAGATCACATGGAGCCTGCAGACCATTCCATTGATCAGAGCAGCACAATCTGCTTTACATTTCAACAAAACCTCTTGGGCTGCTGTGGAGCAAAAACTTTGGAATACACACTGCGTTGGTTTCCTAGGGCTTCAATAACCAGTTATCACAAACTGGGGGCTTAAAGCAACAAACATTACGCTCTCTTGTTCCTGGAGGCTAGAAGTCTGAAATCAAGGTGTCAGCAGGTTAGTTTCCTCTGGGCTCCTGAGGGAGAATCTGCGCCAGGTCTCTCTCCTGGCTTCAGCTGCTTGCGTCAATCCTTGCTCTGTGGCTGCATCACTCCAGTATGCTTTGTCTTCTTATGGCCCTTTTCCCATGTGTGTTTTGGTGTCTCTATCCCTGAATCTCCCTCTCCTTTCTCTTATAAAGACACCAATCATTGTTTTTAGGACCCACCCTAATCCTGCATGGCCTCATCTTACTAATTACATCTGCAGAGACCCTATTTCCAAATAAGGTCACATTGACAGGCCCTGATTGACATGAATTTGGGGAGATACTGTATTTCACACCATTTACCTACCATTAAAATGCTGCATTTAGGTTTACTATCTGAAAAAAAGCAAAACTAGTTGGTGTTTTTTAAAATAAATACTAAAATCAGGTCATGCAGTTTATGGGAAAGAAAACACCATGTGAAATGAGGGTTGATCCCTCAGCAAGATGGAGTTGGCCAAAAACATGTACGTAACAAGGCCAAACAAAGTACAGATCTGAGGGACTAATCTGTTCTTTCCAAAGTAACAGGAAACATATATGAAGACATATATCTGAAAAGAAAACAAAAAGACCTTCCCACAAGCACTTTCAGTAATGATGGTCTGAGTCCTGGCTCTGGGAGTGAATGGCTGTCACTGGCCAGGTGGTCTGGCGGGTCTGCACTGGGAGTCTCCAATGTACAGCGGGGCAAGGGCTGCCGATTCTTTCCGGGTGACTTTTAAAAAGAGAACATGTTTGCTCTCCATGAAACAAAAATGTGGAATGAATTCAACCTCTAAAAATAATAATAAAAATCAAATATATTCTTAAACCTCCACATCTCTTTTCCAGACTCACCCACTGGCCATTTCTCTCCACGGTGACTTCTGTGCCTGTTTGACTGAAGTTCAGGAACAAATCCCAGGAAAGAAGGTCAGCAAGGACAGCATGGTGCCCTGCCTTCTTTACCTGCCCAGCTTGCTGCTGCCAGCCAAGCTCCTGTGGCATTGTCTTAACACGTTTTTATATAACTGTGTCCAACTCAGGATAAAGTCACAGAACATTGCTGGAGACAATACTGAGCACATGAAGCTGCTTTGCAACCACGAGATGTGATCACAGGAATTCTCTCTCCTCTCTCTCTCTCTCTCTCTCTCTCTCTCCCTATCTCTCTCTCTATCACACACACACCTCTCTCACACACACACACACACACACACATACACACACACCACACTCTTTAGTGTGTTGCCCTTTCAACGCACCTTCCCTACTCTTCTGGTCTAGCTGTTCCTCCTTTCCATATCCTCTCCCCACACATGCACAATTCACCCCCTTACCCCCACCCCCCACCCCAGCACCTGGCCTTACCAAAGGCCTGCACCTCCAGCCTTTGCACCCACATGCTGCCTGTGATAGGCAGTTAGACAGGCATGAGCAGAGCAGGAATCGCAGGCCAGGTGTAGAGGGTCACCAGGGCAGGGAGCCCCAGGTGCCTGGCAATGGGCAAAACTACTAGCCTTCACACAACTACTCCCTTAATCAATAACCCCTGAAAATGACATTTAGACCTTCGCTGTGTTTCAGTGACATCAGGACCAGCAGCAATGGCTAATGACCCCCTCCCTGGCGCTGACCAATCATCGGAGATCAAGACCTGAGGAGACACACCAAGAGAGCTGATAAACATTCTCTTGAGATCCTCCTCTGAGACCTCAGATAAAAGGCCTCAGGATGGAGGAACCAATGGAGCTCTTTCGATGGAGTACACCTGCGCCTCTTCCCACCCTTTCCCCAGGGCAGCTCTCTCTCCCGCCCTCCCCGAAGCTCCAAAGACCCTTCTTTTGCTGGAACTTGTTTTTGAACCCATTTCTTCTATGGCTCACTACTCCTACCTCTGTGGCTTCCTAAATAAACTTATAATTTGATTCTTGGCTCTGAATTCTTCTCTTGGCCAGAACTCAAGAAATGAGGTTGCTGAACTGAGGTTAACACCTGATGCCGACCCCCTCCCCTCCCCAATGCGCAAAGATTGCCCACGTGATACCTACGCATATTCCCGCCTCCTTCCCATTCAATATGACATATAGAGCTCTAGCTGGATCACACATAAAATCAAATTGCCGGCAACACAGCTCTATACACAATTCAAGACACGTTGGGAGAGAGTCACCTCACCAAAGCCTCTAGGTGCCCTGCAAGTGAGCACCAGTACAGACACCTTTGCCTCTTCTCTCCACAGACAGCCCCTTGCCCCAAGCCCATATTTTTGGTATTTCAATACTAAGCCTAGACTGAAGCACAGAATAAGCCCAAATATAAAGAAAGCTCTCCACTCTCACTAAAAATTTTATTTATGTAAACTTTTCATGAAGGTTCAGCCTTTTTTGCCTTACTTTTTGGTTTCCTGCTTTTTAATTTCAATGGTAGCATATTGCCCTGCTGGTGTGGTTCAGTTGGTTGAGTCATCCCATGCACCAAAGGGTGACTGGTTTGATTCCGGGTCAGGGCACATGCCCAGTTTGGGGGTTCAATCCCTAGTTGGGAATGCATGTAGGAGGCAACTGATGTTTCTCTTTCTCTCTCTCTCCCTCCCTCTCTCTTTAAAAATCAATAAAACATATTCTTTTTAAAAAGAGGAAAAAGCTCTGGCTGGTTTGGCTCAGTGGATAGAGCATCGGCCTGCGGACTCAAGGGTCCCAGGTTTGATTCTGATCAAGGGCATTTACCTTCATTGCGGGCACATCCCCAGTGGGGAGTGTGCAGGAGGCGGCTGATCGATGTTTCTCTCTCATTGATGTTTCTAACTCTCTATCCCTCTCCCTTCCTCTCTGTAAAAAATCAATAAAATATTTTTTTTAAAAGAAGAAAAAAGTAAATGGTAGCAATTTAAATACTCTGTTGTACACCTTGCTTTTTACTATATCTTTATTGATGTACATTTTACATATCATGTAATTCAATGATTTTTTTTAGTAAATTAGCAAGTTGTGCAACCATAACCATAAGTCAGTTTGTTATTGTTTCCATCACTCTAATAAGGTCCCTTATGCCCATATACAATTAACCTTCCCCATGTCTCCCCCGGCCCTACCTCTTTTGCTTGCTGATTAGCAACTATGATAAAGTAATTTTGGGTATTGTCATCATAGTCTAAACTTGGCCAGGTTCCTTCCTATCAGAGGAACCAGCCATTTTCACAGGACCCATCTTCTTGGTAATTGTGATGGTGGAACTGCAGGCGGGGGAGGCATGGAGGAAGCTGTGGCTGCACATTGAACCCAGAAGCCCCCTTGTCCCCAAACCAAACCACACCTCTGCCAAGAACAACTTTTTAAAAAGCTTGAAAACAAAATTCAGAGGAAAAATGACTACATGCCTGTCTTAAATTTTCTTTAAATTAAATTTTTAAAAGTAACAAAAAACATCCTGAATTATTCTGACCTGAAAGGTTTTTCCTAACTGAAAAAGATCAACTGAGATAAAATAAGACATCACCACGCTCAGGTACACAGGGAAATGCCTGTCATTGACCATCTGAAGGGTTTTGTTTTTTGTTTTTTTGGTTGTTGTTTTTTTTTTAAAGAGTCAGAGCAAACATAGGAATCAAGAACCACAGAACTCAAGTTAAGACTCCAACAAAGTTATTTTGAAGAGTAGTAATGGATCAGAAAATGAAAAGAAAGGCAATTGAATCAAGTTGCAATGCAATTTGATTTTTACAATACCCAGCTTTGTTGCCTCCATTTTCCTCTGTGCTCCCTAAGAGTAAAAAAACAATAGGTCCTCAATTAATATTTGCCTAAAGAATGAGTAAGTGAATGAGGGCTTATTATGTTCTAAGCACTATGCAAGAAATTAGAGATCAAAAATTACAAAAGCCCTGATGTCAAGACATACAAGTACAATGGAGAAACATGCACATAAATAATTTCTATATGCTATGATAATCAATAGAAATAATTGAAAGGTATAGAAATAGCCCAGCGTGGGTAATGATTAATATAGTTAAGAGGGAAATGATTTGGGAAACTTTGTTTATGCTCATATTCTCCGGGAAAGCAATGACAAAGAAGGGTATTCTAAGCAAAGGAAATAGCACGGGGCAAAGGGAATATGTAGTTCAGTTGAACTAGAGCATAAAATCTATCAAGATAGGTTTTCCTTTGGAGCCATGGGGTGCATTCCTGGGTGAAGTCAGATGTGAGAAGTAAGAAGCAATTTGACTATCAAGTTCCAAGGCATTGAGCCCTAGCTGGTTTTGCTCAGTGGTTAGAGCGTCGGCCTGCGGACTGAAGGGTCCCAGGTTTGATTCCAGTGAAGGGCAGATGCCCAGGTTGCGGGCTCAATCCCAGTAGGAGGTGAGCAGGAGGCAGCCAATCAATGGTTCTCTTTCATCATTGATGTTTCTATCTTTCTCTCCCTCTCCCTTCCTCTCTGAAATCAATAAAAATCTATTTTTTAAAAAAGATTAAAATAAAAGTTCCAAGGCATTGGTGGAAAACTACAACTGAGCACAAAGCAAAGGGTCTTCAACAGAGGACAGACCAGATGGTATGAACATCAGTGTGTAGAATAATGCAGCAAATTTCTTGTGCTAGTCTATATGCAGGGGCTCAGTGCTAAGGATGTAGAAAGGTGGCAGGAAGAGAAGCCATAGCTTTGATAAAATAAGGGTACACATGGAATTGTATGTGAATTTTGTGGTGGAAAGGTAGACTTACCAGACAGAAGTACTAGTAGAGGAATGTAAATGCTCTTCACATGTTTGGTAAATTCTGTGGAAAGTGGATAGTAGATGAGTAAATGTGGACTTGGATGAGTTTAAACAGTGTCTCCCAAACCAGTAGAGAAACAAATGAAATGCAATAGCAGGCATATAGGTGGACTGGGTTAGGATAAATTAGCATCTTTGTAGATACAATGCACTCTCTCCCTCTTTTTGAAAAAATATGATTAGGATTTTTATTATTTATTCATTTATTTTTTTAAATCCTCACCCAAAGATTTTTTTTTTTAGAGACAATGGAAGAGAGAGGGAAAGACAGAGAGAAATATCAACGTGGGAGAAATACATTGATTGGTTGCCTCCTGCACATGCCCCAGCCAGGGCCCAGACAGGAGGAGCCTGCTCTTGACCAGAATCGAACCCCGGGACCCTTCAGTCGCAGGCCAATGCTCTATCCACTGAGCCAAACTGGCTAGGGCCACTCCCTGCTTCTTGAAGAAGTCAACTGTAGGGACTATAAGGGCAAAAGAGTGAGAAAATTCTGTAGGAAATCTTTGGGACACAGTAGGAAATCTTTGTCTCTGAATAGGAAAAGAGCAGCTTCTACTCTTAAACTTGTGACATGTTGTTTAGCACCATATGAAAGTCCTTTGGCTAGATGGGATGTGGTTCCTCATACACTCCTTTTTTTTCCCCCTTCTCATTAAATAGTGATAGATTTTGGTAGAGCTGTTTTCATAAAATGCACTGATTTTTAAAACTAATAACTTAAAAAATGCCACCCACACACAAATCCCAAATGGTCCACAAAAACATTTTCCTTTCCTTCTGAAGTTTTTATGATGCATTGTAATCGTTAACCAGTCTTTTAAACTTAAATGGCCAATTGAGACAAACAGTTCTGAGACCGTTCGTCCACCACTGATTAAGACTGGCAAGTGTTGGGGAAAATATTCACTTAACCTTCTGAGCTTTCTGGGCAGACTTGGTGACTGCCAGCTCCAGCTTCTTTCTTGTCCACTGCTTTGCACCAATGAAAACAGCTGGCTTCACAGCTCGCGTGATTATCCTGAAGCATCCAGGCCAAATCAGTGCTGGATAGGCTCCTCTGCTGGATTGTCACACGGCTCACATTGCTTGCAACTTTTCTGAGCTGAAGAAGATTGATCGTCGGTGTGGAAAAACGCTGGAAGAGGGCCCAAAGTTTTTGAAATCTGGTGATGCTGCCATCTCGATATGGTTCCTGGCAAGGCCATGTGTGCCGAGAGCTTCTCTGACTACCCTCCTCAGGGCTGTTTTGCTGTTCGTGACACGAGACAGACAGTTGCTGTGGGTTCAGACACCCTTATACAGGGTTCTTGAAAACCCACTTCTCAGTATTAGCCAGAATTCATTGCTATAGGCAGTAGTTAAAAACTGCCCAGACCAGAGCACCATGATACGTGAATCATTGCTTTCCACTATCAAAAGTCATGTAAATGCTGTTCATTAACCCATAGACTAAGGAAATACCTTTCTTGTAAGTGGAGAATCCAGTATGACTTGGGTTAGTGGACAGAGATTCAGAACTGGATGTGGGAGTACTGAGAACCAAAAAAAGGGAGACAAAATATCTGACTCAGGCAATAGTGAACTTGGGGAGAAAAGGATAGACTGAGGTACCAGATTCAAAGGTGTGGACAGAGAGCAAAAACCAGATTACAATAGAAGTGCAAACCGGGAACATTCCCTGATATTGTGGTATGCAGAGAAGGAGCCTGTTACAGAGACCTAGGGTCTAGACCGGTCCAGACACAAGTTGAGAGCTACTTAAGATGCTGCTGATTAAAGCCCTCCTCCCAAACAAAAGCCAGGTTTTCCCTACTTATTTGAGGTTTGGAAAGCAGAAAGTTTTTAACAAAATCATCCTAAGAGCTTCCTCGTCGGCCTTGGAGCGAGGGAAACGCGCGCGGACCCCGCACCGGTCGGGGACCCGCCATGGGCCCGCCCGACCCCGGGCTCCGCACCGCGCGAGTACCATCCTAAAGCCAGAATTGAAGCTACAAGATGGCTGATCGGGACCCAGGCGGCATCAGCCCCCTCCAGCAGATGGTGGCCTCAGGAGCCGGGCCGTGGTCACCTCCATCTTCATGACCCCCCTGGACGTGGTGAAGGTCTGCCTGCAGTCTCAGTGTCCCTCGGTGACCAGCGATGTGATGC